CTTACACATAAAATAAAAATAATACAATTTTTTTAAAAAATATTGTGGATTCCAGGTCAGCCTGGCCTACACAGTGAATTCTTCAGATTCAACTGGGTTATATGGCAAGACCTTGCCTCAACAAAACAAAAGCAAAAAGCCAATTAAAAAACTCTTTCCTAAGACTCATACAGGTAATGATTTGTTAAAAACTTTATAAGCCTAAAACCAAACACTCATTCCCTTAGAATGTGAGAGAATGGTTTTAGGTTTCAATCTAGAAATCCAATTTCCAGAGTCATTGATCTTTAATATTCCAATATGCATTTTTCAGACAACAATATTTTTAGGTAACTTCGCCTTCCTCTGGAGTAATATTTACTTAATTAAATTTCACGTAGGTTAGCAGGGACTGAAGTAGTCACAAAGTCATATGGCCACTTCACCTACCTACTTGATTTGTACTTGCCTTTTCTTCTCCAAGAAATTTTGGCTCACTTCCCCACACTGTCTTACCTTTGTACCCCTCAAATACACTGACCTTAGAACACCCATTATGATCATTGCTTTCCTTGTCTTCATCCAAATTCATGCTTAAATAGAACTTCATTAAATTTATTAGTAAAGTACATCAAAGAAGCTTTTTTCTGTGAGCGGTGCTGGGGATCATGTATGCTAGGTAAGCACTAAACCACTGAGCTATAGTCTTAGCCTGGCAAAGAAGAATTCTTTCACAATTCCTTTCAAATACAAATAACTTTTTTCTCTTTTTACATATAATAAACACATTCAAAAACTTAAAAGAAAATAAAATCATCCATTGTTTTATCAATACCACAGCATTCCTTCTCAGACAAAATCATTGAGAATATTAATTCATAGACACCTTTTCTTTCCACTTTCCTGTATCCTTTTTCTGTAGGGGGGAATCAGGAGGGAAGCAGGAGGATGGACTGAGAAGAGATTATATTTATAGTTTACACTTTAATTGCATTTACTTATTTAAAAATGTTGTGAGCATTTCTACATCTAGATGTACAAGAAGTGTTTTTGTGTCTAAGTATACAGACCTACATCATATGCTATTGGTTTAAAGTTTCCCATGGTATATCTAACAATGATTTGAAATAACTTATTTAATAGTTCACTATTTTCTAATTTTTGTTCCAACAACAAAGTGATTAACATTCTTATACACTTAATGTGTGCTGTATTGTGTTGATCAGGGGTCCACTTTGGATATCTTGTTCTATCACTTTATTTTTTGAGACAGAATCTCTCACTGAACCTAGGGATGGTCTTTCAGCTAGACTTGCTGGCAAGCCAGTGAGCCCCTGGATCTGCCTGCATTTGCCTTCTACTCACCAAGCACTGAGGTTACAGGTGTATACCACCATGACTGGTTTTTACATAGGTACACAGCATCCAAACTCAGGTCCTCATGCTTATATAGCAAAAACTTCACCCACTGAGCCATCTCCCCAATCCACCTGTATATATCTGATTAATCTCCAGGATATTCTTAAATTAAACTATAAAAATGTACCAGGTATGCTTGTATGTGCCTGTGATCCCAGCACTCAGAACACTGAAGAAGTAGGAGTGTGGGACTAGCATAGTTAAGACCCTGTCTTTTCTTAAAATAGCAACTACTGTAGTTGTTCCAAAAGCAAAGCAAATCTCAGAACTCCCTCATGGCCCCAAGCTTCCCAATTCCTTCACAACAAAGACAAAAGCAGATAGATGAGCAGAGTGGCAATGCCTATAGACCCAGTTACTGAGGGCAGTGAGGCAGAAGAATCACTTGAGTTTACAGGTTGAAAGCAGCCTGGGCAACATAGCAAGATATACCCTTCCACCCTTCTACCCTTCCAAGATACATCATCTTCCCAGTGATGTATAAACTGTCTCCTAACTGAACATATCCCTTCTTTCATTCTTTACATTTGTTTATGTGCCATTACAACCACAAGTTAAGTGTTCATACCCATGGAAGTTTGCATGATGACGCTCAAGTCCTACACTCCCATTTCTTTCAGGTCAATGCTCAAATGTTACTTCTCTTTCTCTTTCACTTACCATAAATACTTTGTCTCCAAAGTATTTATTTCATCGAACATGTGTTACCAGTGTCTTAAATGTACCATCAACGGAATGTGATCAAAACTGAACTTTGAAATATATTCTAGTCATCTTAAACCAGTCCTAAATCAAAACTTGCTGTTTCTGGTCTCAGGCTTCTCTAATTCTTTAAGCAAGAAACAGTCTCAAGTCAGTAATTAGCATGCCTATTCTACGTGGCAACATTCTTTCCTCCCTTCTCAGAACTGCACAAAGCACATTTTAAGTTCTCAGTTTATTCCATGGAAACCTCTCAACACACCAGAAGAAGGGATAAGCTCCTTCCTCTCCACCTTTAATAATTCAAAAGCAAAACCCAGCTCTTTCTAAAAATTATTTCTGTAAAATTCTATTCCCTCTCCACATACTAATCTTTACAGACCACCTTTTCTGCAAATTTAGAATGTAGGAGGTCTGCCTTATTGTCATTTTAGAATCTCATAACACTATATTTGTGCTGGATAGCTTTAGTTGTCAACTTGACACACCTGGGTAAAGGGAGCCTCAACTGGGGAATTTCCTCTATTGGATTGGCCTGTGGCCATGTCTGTGGAGCATCTTCTTGATTATTGAGTGATGTGGGAGGGCCCAGCCTACTGTGGGTGGTGCCACCCCTGGGCAGCTGGGCCTATGTTGGATAAGAAAGCAGTTTGAGTAGGGGCAAGAGGAGCAAGCCAGTAAGCAGCATTCCTCCATGGCTTGTGCTCCAGCTTCTGCCTCCAGGTTCCTGGCCTGAGTGCCTACCTTGGGCTCCCTGATGAACTGTAACCCAGGAGATGTAAGCTGAATAAACCCTTTTCTCCCCAAGTTGGTATTATTGGTCAGAGTGTTTTGTCACAGCACTTGAAAGCAAACTAGAACAGTATTACACTTCATATAAAATTGAGTAGGAAGAATTCCATTCAACATTCTGTTGCTATAATTTACTGGTTTATCATCTGTCTCACCCTAACTGTTCAATACAACACTTAAGCACTTTTACAGATGCCTAGAACATAATAAGCACTCAAAAAAATACCTGTTGAATGAGTGAAACTTAGAATCAGTATCTAAAAATACATGAAAAAATTAAGTGTATTGATTCATACTTCAATATTCCCAGGCTGGCCTCGAACTCACAGAGATCCAGAGATCTGCTTGCCTCTGCCTCCCAAGTGCTGGGATTAAAGGCGTGTGCCACCATGCCCAGCAATTTGGCTTTCTTACCAACAGTTTGTAACACATTTTTTATTTTAAGCACACACTAGTAATAGATATCTTCAACTTTCTGGACATATTACAAGTTTCCTTTTAGAAGTAAGTCAATCAATTCTTAAAATGTCTATATCTACTGCATCTTAAAATTTATCTCTTGACATTTCCACAACCCACTGTTAAGTAGTGTGTCGCTTGTCTAATTCATTTTAAGACTTCTTTTTAAAAGAAAGCATTAACTCTGAAACTGCACATCTTTCCCTCAAGTTCTTATTTCCTTATAGACATGTTTTATTTGTAGTCAAAGCTATCAATTTTTCCCTCCTTTTCAGTTTCTAGTTTTGGTGTCATATTTTAAAAATCTTTTTTCCTACCTAATAACAACATTTTATTTGTATAACAGCAATATTACATAAATGACAAATGATAACCAAATAGGTAATTAAAATTTTTCTACTAGCCACATTAAAAAAGTAAAAATAGAAAAAAACTATATCTTAATATATAAAAAATTTCAAGATGCCATAAAAATTGTTAGAAATAGTTTACATTCTTTTTTTCATGCTGTTTTTTAAATATTCAACGTATCTTACAGAAAAATCCCAAGGAATCAAATCACATTTGAAGGGCTTAATAGGTATATTTAGGTATACCACACCAGGCTTTATAGCTCTAAAACATGAAAATTCACCTAGCTTTTCTTCTAACATTTGTTTCATTGTATAGAAATTTCAAATTTTTCCTTCATCTGACATTTACTTTGGTACCAGATATGAAAGAGCCCTTCACAGAGCTAACTAATTTGCTCCACTGTAAGATGTTCCCCTGCCCTCTTTTCGGCTGATATATACTCAATATCCATGTTTAAATTAGTCTAAATTTTATTTATTTATTTATTGAGTTATTGTGTGTGGAGGGTGCAAGTGTATTAACACATATTTGGAGGTCAGAAGATAACTTGTGGGAGTCAAGTTCTCTCTTTGTACCATGTGAGTTCCAGGGATCCAACTCAGGTCATCAGGCTTAGTGGAAAGTACCTTTACCCAGTCAACCATCTTGCTGGTCCCTATGTAAAATTTAGTATAATCCTGTTAAGGCAGGGTCTCTCAGTTAAACCCAGAGCTCCCCTATTAGGCTAGTCTACTAAGGCAGCTTGTTCTGAAAATACCCTCTTTCTGACAGCTGAGTGCCAGAATTAAAGGGGGGGCGGGTACCACACCTACCCAGCATATATTTATGTGCTGGGGAGCTGAACTCCATTCCTTATGCTTGTAAGGTCAATGAGCCATCACCCCATCTTCTCAAATTAAGTTTTGAACTGTAATCAAAAATAGAAATGCTAATGGAATTTTAACAAGGATTATTTATGCTTAATGTAGACTAATATGAGCAAAAGATTTCCTTATAATAGTAAGCTTTACACTCAAAAGCATGACAATATCTGTTTCTCTTTGCATAATTTTGCAAATTTTCATTCAGTGATCTCTATATAGGTTTTATACATTCTTTTCTTACACTTTCTTTTTCTTTCTAGTTATTTTGTTTGACATTTTTAAGAAAATGGATCTTTGGAACATGAGAAATGGTAAATTATCTGTGTAGAAGAGAAAGTATATCACAGACTAAACACTCAACACATAACATCAGTTTGTGAAAGAAAACCACAGAACAGGTTTCTCACATTATTTCCCTAGTTAACTACTTACTTGCAATGCCAAATGCATATCCAATCCCCAAAGTTAAGATCTGTTTTATCAGGATTTTCATCTTCAGTTTGCTTCTGCAAGTTAGTATTGCACCAGAGCTGCAAGCTGCTAGAACCAGTTAAAAGACGATTTCCTAAAAAAAAAAAAAAAAAAAAAAATTATACACATACACACACACACACACACACACACACACACTATTCATCACTTATTATTAGGTAGTTAACACTGAGTCAAGATACACACTTAAAGAATTTCTTATAATACTTGGGCTGGAGAGATAGCTTAGTGTTTAAGAGTGCTGACTGCTCTTCCAGAGGACCCAAGTTCAGTTCCCAGCACCCATGTCAGGCAGCTCACAACTGCCTGTAATTTCAGCTCAGCCATAAACAGGGCATCACATCACTACCGCCACTATCACCACCACTATCACTATCATCACCACCCCCTCAAAGCTCACGGAACAACACAGAAGTTGGGACAAAAAGAATGTAAAAGATAAAAGATGGAGAGGAATGAAGAAGAATGCTGTCTTAGGATCATGGCATTGCCGTTGCATTCTTGAGCCCATAGTAGTTGTGTTTTCAGGCACCAGACCTGCACAAGATTGAGCCTGTCCTGGGCTGGGGGGGGGGGGGGGGGGGGAAAAAAAAACGTAGAACACTACTGCTGCCTTCTAAATATTTATATTCATATCAATAGATTGCTGCTGTTTTCTCAACCTTAGACATGGTTCTTTTTGCAGTGGGCAGCAATTAACAAACTCATAACTGGTCAAAGTGTTGGGTATAAGTGACTGTTAAGGCTCTCCTAAAATGAGATACATATGTCACCCCCTCCAAGACTCAGAGAACATCACAGAAGAGGTGAAAAGAGGACTACAAACAGAAAACGGTAGATTGGAAGAGGGGGCCCATGAGACCCCACCCCTCCTTAAGTTTCAACCGACAGATAACCATTCCTGGGGAAGAAAGACATTTTCTTCAGTGGCATAACCATTGGTAGGGAACCCATACTTTTATAAACAATGTCTCATTCAGGATCTTCTAAGAAACACTAGCAAAATGCAACAGGGAAAGAAAAATAAGAAGAGGGAAGGAAGAAGAAAGGGAGGAAAAAGGAAAATCACAAACTTTAGATCAGAAATTCAGAAATCTAAGTTCCCAAATCACTTAGAGATGTGAATTGACTTTAGTTGGGCAATCTTTGAACCTCAATTTTTTTATGCTTAACGGAGAACTAGAATGCTACAAAGAGTTATAAGGGTTAACTATAACATATATAAAGTCTCTAGCTTTGCCCCCTGCAATATGACTTTCTCACATCTTTGAGTAAGAGTAGAATCCCTATCTTGTTTTGAACACATAATGTGGCAGGAAAACCCGCTAAGACATTCAGGCTTTGGGAACCTTTGAAACTTGTACTTTCACTCTCAAAGATCTAGCTGCCTTGTAAAATTTATGGTACCCTTCTGGAGAAGCTGCACAAGAGAGACAGAGCACATGGACAACAAAGGTTCCAGAAGATAACAAGTACCAAGTCCCATATATGTGAGCAAAGCCTTACTTGGAGCCTCTCCCTACAAAAATGCTACTGCAGGTAGTATCACATGGGCAAGACAAAGCATCCCTACAACACACAATAGTAATTCCTGGCCCACAGGGCAAAAGTTATAAAATTATTTTTGTTTTGAGCTATGAAATTTTTACATGTACAAATAGGTAACTGAAGATAGAATCTCTTCTTAGAATTCATTTCTTTTTCCTATTCCATCACTCTGTCCTCACTGATAAAATCTATCTCAAAGTCCGGTCAAAAGAACCCTCTTTGATGAAATCTTATCTCATGGAGAGAATTTCCTCTTTTTCAAAAATAACAGGTATTCTTCTCATAGCATCTGTCATGGTCTATCACTTATTACAGCTTGCATTTGCCTTCCTCTCAGCATAAACTCTAAAAAAGCACCATTTATTTTATTTACTTTCGTATTCACCATAATCTCACAGATGAAATACAACAGTTGAAGCATATGATGTTCCACTTCAGTTAATCCTGCTAATGTTCTTACCTGAAGGATCCCAAGTTATATTGTGTGCTATTGATTCCAGAAAAAATTGGCCACTTTTTTGCCACTGACTATAAAATTCCTAAAAAATCAGAAAAAAGTCATTTAGCCGATTATGATTTGCATCTTTTCCATCAAATATGAATATAACTGCTTTCTATTCTTATAATAATATATACAGTCATTTTAACACACAACAAAATATTCAATTCAGTCAAGAAAAACAGGAACTACATGACAAAGATTATTGACAGACTATCCATTGCTATCAGTCCAAAAGTTTATCCTTGTTATGAGTAACCAATAAATATATACTCTTACTGGGGTTGGTCCTCAAACTTCAGCACAACAAAACAGCCTATGATGTTTTAAAAGTTCAAATTTCCAATACTATGCTCACAAATTCAGGCTCAAAAAGTACAGTGTGAACCACAGGAACACCCAAACTTTAAACCAATATCTTAGCTGACTTAGATACCCTATGTGGCCTACAGAATACATTTCTATAAAACACACTTTTATGAAATTCACTCTCAATAACAGTGAGTTATCTACCATCTCAAAAGAATATTCCAGGATGTAAAGGGGAAAAGAGAGTACTTATATATAAAGACCTAAGGAGTATCTGAGACTGTATTTCAAAATTACAGATTTTGTCCGAATTATAATTTTTCCATTTTATCCAGCTCTCCCCTTCAAGGTTTTACTGTAACCAGTCCTGCCATCAATAGTGCATAACAATTAACTACCCTGATCCTGCTGAGTATTTTATACTATTATATTCATCAATAATAATAATAATAATGAAAAAGTAATGGGCAAGACTGAAATTATTTATTCTACTCTTAGAAATAAAGGCATTTTAACAAATAGTTCCTAAGTATAGAAATATCATGATTTATTATTAGGGGCCAGGGAGATGACTCAGTGGGTAAGGTGCTTGCCACCAAGCCTGACAACTTGAGATGGATCCTCAGCATCTACATAGTAGGAGAATACAGACTCTTGCAAAATATTCTGTTCTCCACAGGGACCACCCCCCTTAAATAAATAAAAGTAATAAATATTAAAAATATATTGTTAGTATTGCCAATTACTAATTAAACAGTAAGAGCCTCTAGTACTGGATTAACTAGATAATCTATAGGCACAAATAGAAATCAGAGAGCATGTGGGAAACTATTTTCATGAAATTGAATGTTCATGAAAGCCAGGCATCTTAGCACTTAGGAGGCACTTAGGATTGCTGAGAGTTCAAGGCTAGCCTGAGGTGTACAGTGAGTTCCAGGCTTATCTCAGGCTATACAAGAAGACTCTGTCTCAGAACAAGGGAAAGAATTGGAGGGGAAAAGAATGGAAAGAGATGAGGTAATTTGTAAGATTTAAGTGAAAATGACACAAAAATGATCACACGATATATAAGGATTTCTACCATAAAACACTTTAATTCTTTACATTTCTAGTCTTTGATATAATATCATCCTTACAATAACCCCATCAAGTATGAATAGATACTATTAATTTCAGAGTTGAGCAAAGAATTTCTTAACATTGCCTCTGTAAGATCACACAAGTAAAAGGAACATAAATAGAAACCAGTCCCATGAATTCTAATACTATTCTTTCAACTTTACTATACTGATCCTTTCATATGGTTCTGGTTTGATCTTCATGGCAACTACATAGACATAGAAAAGAATGTGGTTCATCTGTTACAGTCAAGAGTATTAAAGCAAATATGAAACCTAGTACATAATCCCAATAGGTATAAACTGTATTTATAAACAAACTTTATTTCTTATATACCTTCTTTATAAAGAATAGCTAGCATTCACTGACCTGACAGCAATTATATTACATGATATAATAAAAGCAAGAAACTAAGTCCTAGGAAGTATATTAACTGAAAGCAAATCATGTCATTTAAGAACAGTAAACATGAAAAGGCAGAAAACTGTGTAAGGGAAACCTGTAAACTGAGAGTAAAGTGCCATATGTGGCTATATACTGGGCTCTAATACTAGCAATAAAGTACCTGCTAAATTATAAGTTACTGACTCTTTTAGGTGTTTCTCATAAAATAAAAGTGTCAGAAGGAAAACAAAGCACTTCAAGACAACTGGTTGGCATAATTCAGTATAATTCAATTCCAATAAAAATTAACTGTATTTTGATATGGAACTTGGACTTAACAGGCATCTTCAATTATAGTCCATAGCTTATACTAGTTTACATAATGTCTACTTTGATTTTTATGCTAAATATATTTCAATTCCTAAAAGAAAACTGATAAATTACTAACCAAATTTTTCCTTTTTTTCGGTAGACTGACAGGTTCAAAAACAGAGATAACATTTCCATAGGATGCTGCAATCTTTTAAAAAGAAAAAGATATTATGAATATACAAACATTTATAGATTGAAAGAGCAAATAAAATAAATACTATGATTTTAAATATACAAAAACAATTTCTTTCACTCATACTTGAGAATGTTAGTTCTAAAGACTATCACATGAGAATTCTAGCTCCATCCTGTCTGTGTAACTGGAAAACTAAACTCTCTAAGCTCATCAGAGAGATTTTCCTATCTGCATTTATAATACATAAAATACTATCTTTCTAAGAGTTCTATGTTGAGAACTAAAAAGAACATTCACAAAACACTTAGCATATAATAATATATAAAATGCAGTGTAAATGTCAGTTATTTTTCTCACCGAAAGCATCAAAATATAATCTTTTTTTCTTTTTTTTTTTTTTGCTTGCATATATGTAGGTATACTCGTGCATGCAACATCCATGGAGGCCAGACCAGAAGTTGTTGGATCCCCTAGAACTGGAGTTATGGACAGTTGTTAGCTGTCATATGAGTGTGAACCAAACCTGGATCCTCTGCAAGAACAGCCAGTGCTCTTAAGTGCTGAGCCATCTCTTCAGGCCACCATTATAAATTATCAATATGAAACACCATTTCCTGGCCGTGTTTTATAAACACAGGTTATCTAATTTTGAAGTTCTTAATTCTGCCAACATAAATTCTTAACTTTTCAAAAACAAAACTTAACACAAAATCTTTATAACTTTTCCTGAGTACAATTTTCTTTTTTAAAATATTTAAATATTTTGTTATTTTTATTTTATGTGTAGTGTGTATTGCCTGCATGTGTGTAAGTGCACCCATGTCATTCAATGCCTGTGGAGGTCAGAAGAGGGCGTCAGATCCCCTAAAACTGGAGTTATGGATGGTTATTAGCCACCAAATGGGTGCTGTAAACCAAACCTGGGTCCATCTCTCCAGTCCCTTGAGTACAATTTTCAACATTTGATCTACTTTTTAAATTTATTCTTTTCATTTTTGGAGGGAATGAGTTGAACCTAGGATTTTGTGCCAAGAAGTCTATGACTGGGTTATACCCTTGATTCCTTCTTAAATTTACTCTTTAAATCAGTGAAACAGCTGGGTGTGAAAGCAGAGGCCTTTAATCCTAGAACTCGGTAGGCTCAGGCAGGCAGATCTCTGTGAGATCAAAGCCAGCTTGGTCTACATAATGAATTCTAGGCCACCTGGGGCTACAAAAAAGAATAAGAAAAATAAAAATCAATGGAATATCATTTCCTAGCTGTACTTTATAAATAGGTACAATATCTTGAATGAATCTCATAT